TACACTCAATTTCTCTCTTCTTGTGAGCTGGATAGAGAAATAATGGCGATGGACATGGCAATCCGATCTTCGTTCACTACAAAACTTCCTCTCCATTCTTCTTCTTCTTCTTCTTCTTCGGCTTCTCCTTCCATTTCACCCAGAGCTTGCTGCAAAAATCAGCTGAAACCCATCTCTGTCTCGCTTCCAACTTCAACCACAATCTCTCTCTTGGCTCTATTCACACCTCCCCATGAAGCCAAGGCCGCCACTCTTTCTAAAGACCAGATTGTCTCCTCTCTCAATGAGGTAAGACTTTAGACTTTCACTCTCCATTAATGGGTTTCTATTTATTTGCTGGTTCAACCACAACCTGCTTACCAAAATGTCCCAACGAGGATTTTTAGTTTGCTCTCCAGCCAATAATACCCATTGCGAGGAATTGATTTTTGTTGTGATTTGATAGGTTGAGAAGACAATTGATCAAGTCCAGGAAGTGGGTTCGACTGTTTTGGACAATGCACAGCGTGTTCTTCAAGTTGTGGGGGAGTTTCTGAAACCAGCTGTTGAGAAGGGGTTGCCTATTGCGCAGAAAGCTGGAGAAGAGGCTTTAAAGGCTGCTTCTCCGGCAATTTCCGAGGTCTCAAAGAAAGCCCAAGAGGCAATTCAAAGCTCTGGCATTGATACAGAAACTGTTGTTACTGCAGCCAAGGTTATTTCCATTTGAAATTCAGCTTTATAATTTATATTCTTCAGATTGTAGACTGTCCATCTCTTGTAGTGTTTTCTTTTGCAGTAATACTATTAGATAAGCTTCTTGTTCTTGAAATGGCTGCAATGCTAAATTGGTTTCTAATGTTAACTTGTGATGATTGCAACTTAGGCTTCTATTGATAGGTCCCAGTCAGAAACCAATTAATTTTTCAGTAATTATTTTCTCTTTGGGTGAGAATAAACCACACTTGAACAACAATTTTTTCGACCCCCCATCCATTAAACTTGCAGCCTTTAAATACAAAAACCACTGCCCGTTACTTCCTACTTCTAAGGGAACTAAAACAAAGTGGGATAGTGGTAGATAAAACTGATGGAAAAAAGGCATATAGGATACACTGTTGACTAATTCCACAACTATTCTAAGCACACTTTTCCTTAAACTAAACACATGTTTTCCTTAAGTTGGTTGGCATTGAGATTTTCGAAGCTTAACATCTATATATCGTAAGAAAAAAAGCTTTATGGATTATACGTGTTGAGAAATTGAATTGTATCTGGGTCTGCCTTCAAGAATTTCTTCAGTTTTGATGCATAATTCGGGTTGCTGCATAATTGATGGTAATCTGTTTGTTACTTTGTTTCAAGAGACAAATTTGTGCCCATGCAGTCAGAATATGACAATTTGATGGATATTTAATCTGGTAATGTTGGGCTGTTTATAATTTGGTAGGACAGGACTGGTTAACATCTGGTCTGTTTTGCACCGAATGAACTGCCCTAGAGTGTGGATGTGGATGATGAGTTATAAAAATTCTGTTACTTAGACTATTGTTTGGAATAAAGTCAGAAATCTTATTGATTTTATTTGTAATTATATTGAAGAAAGGTAAAATAATTTTCTAAACGATAAAAGCTTTCCTCATATCGAATTAATCTTCTAGAAAATTTTTGAATTAAATGGGAAAGTGAATTCTAAAAAATTTTTGGATTTATTTTAAACATAGCCTTAAAAATTCTGATTTCTGATCCTAAATTTGTAAATGAACCATTGCCTTTGTTGCAGACGGTAGCAGATGCAGCAGAGAAGACTACGAAGGTGGCCACACCTATCGCTTCATCAACTGTCGAAGCCATCTCATCTGCAGATCCTACTGTAATTGTAGGAACAGCTGGAGCATTATTTGTTTCATACCTCCTCCTTCCTCCCATCTGGTCTGCCATCTCTTTTGGCCTTCGTGGTTATAAAGGTAACTTCACTTTCATTGGTTCTCGGAACAAAATTGCTTCATTTCTATGAAGGTTATGTATAAGTCTGAAAACAGCTAAAAGTGATTATGAAGTGTGAAACTAAACGAAACAATCTAGTGAGTTATCTTTTTTAGCTTTATCTACATGTAGAAAAGTGTAGAGGTACAATACTAATCTCTTTGTGGTTCAGAACTAATCTGAGTACTGATACAGATTTTGGAAGTTTTTGTTCTTCTAAATTCTCTTGCATGACAGGGGGCTAATGCATTTTGTTACTGTCTAGGTGATCTTACACCTGCTCAAACACTTGATCTAGTATGTTCGCAAAGTCACACAATGATTGATATACGATCTGAGAAGGACAAAAGCAAGGCTGGTGTTCCTCGCCTTCCCTCTAGTGCTAAGAACAGGCTTATTTCAGTTCCGTAAGTAAATCTGCTTCTTCTTCCATGGCTTCTTCCCTACGCTGCTGTTTTACATGAAATTTATGGGTTGCTGTATCCCCTTATTCTCATTCATCTTCATCGTTCCCGTAACAAATGAAGTTTGTTTACAAAAACTTCGAACTGATTCAGTTTCTTGTAAAAATGTAAAAGCTCTGTGGTT